GAGGCCAAGGCAACACCTTGAACTCTTTGTCATGTTCCTCAAACCAGTCTTGAACAAATGTTGCAGTGTGGCAGGGTGCATTATCCCACTGAAAGAGACCACTGCCATCAGGGAGAACCATTGCCATGAAGGGGTATATATGGTCTGCAACAATCTCTAGGTAGCTGGTACATCTCAGTAACATCCACATGAATGCCAGGACCAAAGGTTTCCCAGCAGAACATTGCCCAAAGCATTACACTGCCTCCACTTGGCTGCATTCTTTCCACAGTGCATCCTGCTGCCATCTCTTCTCCAGGTAAACGATGCACATGCACATAGCCATGCACCTGATCTCAAAGAAAACATGATTAAACAGATTAGGCAACCATCTTCCATTACTCCATCTGACTTTTGGCAGTGGACCGGGTCATCATGAGCACTCTGACTGGTCTTTGCTAGGCAGCACCATACACAGCAAACTGCAATGCACTGTGTGTTCTGACACAATTCTACCATAGGCCAGCATTAAGTTTCTCAGCAATTTGAGCCATATGATCTCTTATGTGTGATCAGACTAGATAGGCTAGCTTTTGCTCCCCATGTGCATCAATGAGCCTTGGGCGCCCATGATCATGGAGCTGGTTCACCTGTTTTCCTTCCTTCCACAATTTTTGGTAGGTACTAACCATTGCAAAAATACAAGAAAGGATAAGCACTAGACAATGATATACTATATTACCTCAGGCTGCAATCATTAAAAAGGGAAGTTCATAAAAAAAATCTTAAAACAACGTACAGTGGATACAAAACACAAAGAGACAGGATGTGCCAAAATGCTCATGAAAAATGGTGACACAAAATTCCAAACTTTTCTCCTTTGAACAAGTGATATAGTTTCCTTGGTACTAGAACAGGCCAATGATACATATAAAGGCAAAAAAAAAAAGAAGGAGCTGATGGTATAGTATTTTCAGGTGAGTTTAAGGACACACAACATAAAGTTAATTTTCCACTCACAAATGGAGGAGCTACAAACCAGCTCCAAGTGTCTTCAGCACAGGTGAGTTGAAGTATTGAGCTAATCCTGTAATCTCAATATGTAGCATTTAGGATGATATAAACCCCATTCAATGGATACTAGTGATGTCTCAGACTAACCATAGCATACCGGGAACACCCAACAAGACTTGCCATTTTGGAGATGCTCTTACCCAGTCGTCTAGCCATCACCATTTGGTCCATGTCAAAGCCACTCAGTTCTTTTTGCTTGCCCATATTTCCTGCTTCCAACACATGAAATTCAATAACTGACTGTTCACTTGATGCCCAATATATTCCACCCCTTGATAGGTGCCATTGTAATGATATAATCAATGTCTCAATGTTTAACAATCATTCATTAACCTATTTCATTTTCTTCATCTACACTGAACAACATGGCTACAATAAACTGCATCAATAAAGAGTCATAACTTTCACCTGGATAGCTTATCTCCTAGAATGCTGCCTCTTATTGGCTGAAATTTAAATTTTAAAGCAATAATAATAGTTATAATAATAACATCAAAAAATCAACTTAGACAGTTTGAATCTAGAAATTAAAGTCTTGTGAGTACAAGTCCAACAGCTGTTTGCATATGTTGCTGAAAGTAAGGAGAGCTAAGAATGTCATCAGTGGATGATCAAACAGCAAACAGATTGAGAAATTAAATCACTAGTTTTCCTTTGAGAACAACATAATGTTTGTTTTTTGGATAAAGAATATTGCTGCTTGATGTTTGAGATACTGAGTGCTCCCGAGAGGTTCCATTAAACCATAAAAGACAGAAAATAGTTCATGTAATGATATAGATGTATGACAGACAAACATTATAAAAATACACGCTTTCAGTCTATAATATAAAGAATGGGTAGACTATGTAAAATTAGAGATGTATAATTATTTAAAAGCTTCTTTCATTATCTTATACACAATCTAATCCATTTTCTAATATATATTTAGAGATTTGTTTCTTCACAGCTATATTGCAATTTACCTATTATCTTATAGAGATTGGACTTATACACTAAGAACTAGTTGCCCATATGTGGGATGACTGTTTGAGCTTCAACTACATTTGCGCAGATGCAACGTCAGGAACTTTAACATGAAATGTGCACATGTAGTGTTACAACACTAAGAGGGGCGTACCCTCAAGTACGTCACCACCGGCCCACAACATCATTTCCGGGCTTAGACGAAGGAGTTATCGGCAACCCCTGGGAGGACACACACCTCCGATTACCTGCGCTACGATTGGCCGCCGAAGAAGCACGGCAACCAATAGGATTAAAATCTTTCGCATTTAACTATGACCTTTCCAGGAAACAGACAATCCCATTAAGAAAGCCAACCAGCGAAACGCGTCTCGGATTAAGAGGAGAGTCCACATTTCAGAATACTGGGACTGGTATTATTTTATCCAAGTTTTATATTTATATTTTGTATCAAGTAAAAAAAGTGTTACTTTATAATACCATTAAGTGGACCTTCAACTGTTTCCTGCACACAAGAAGGGTGGTGTCTCCCTTAAAGACACATGTGCCCTGACACGTAGAGCCTAGTATAACTGGCTCTATTAAAGGTGAGCAAGTCTTTGCACTATTGATTTTTTGCTGCCACTTCAGTTTTGCAATCCTGCACTAGAGTGTCTTGTTTCCCTTTTGTCTCCATCTATCTGAGAATTACTGAATCAAGAAACTGGAGAGAGTTTTGGTATGACCTTATACACCCCTGCTTTTGAGACCCGAGCCTATCCTAGTAAGGCTCTATACCATGTGAGTCTAATCTATACCCCATCCATATCATGTTTTGGCTGTATAGACATACTTCATCATTATTTGCCTAATTCTTCTGTTTTAAGAAAATTGTCTGTAAAAACCCCCACAAGTGGGAGAACATTGTCATCTGACTCCCCTATATAATAGGGTAAGCACATTCTATTAGCGCTCCATTAGTGTTTTTTTTTTCTGGTGGTGTGTTCCACCGAGTCCACTCTTTTCCTGGTAAATGTTATTTGGAACTCATATGTGTTTGTTGATTAATATGGAAAATATTGTAATAAAAATTATTGAAACCAAAAAAATAAAAAATAAATAAAAATACAATAAGTTGTAGTTGTTCTGGTGGCTAAAGTGTCCCTTTTACTTAAAAATAGAGCATTTACTTAAAAAGGAACCAAAAAAGTCACTGAGCAACTGACCACCACCCACATTGACAAGAACAAAGCTTTAGCATCAGTGACCATCTTTGAGTGCAGAAAAAACACAGTGCCCTATCAGCTTATACTAACTGTGTCTGCGGTGGTAGCAGGCACCAAAAGCAGGCAGGGTTCAATCACTACAATGAAAATTACAATTTTGTCATTAAACCATAAAATCTAAATATCTCACTGTAGAAATCATGTTTTAACAATTAAAAAGGTTACAGTTTTAATGAGGATATACTGAAAAGGGCCTGGGAGATTCCTTCCAGAAGATGGGTTGACTATAGGTTCTCACACAAACAGTACAAGTTAAGGTTCATTCCATAATGAATTTCATAGTGACTTAATGACATCATATGGTGTTTAAAGGTGATGTACCATTTCTTTAATGTAATCTTGTTATATCAGGTTACTGTTTGAGTTACAACGAGCTTCTTCAGATATCTAATTGTGCCTTTTTAGTTGTACTTTAATTCAACTTTCCTTCCAAAATGGTCATTACAAACACCTAACTCATGATAGATGCTGCTTGTCGCACTATCTCTGACAATCACCCAAAGCTTAAAAACGCTATGGTGTGCATCCAAAAATGAAAGAAAAACGTGAGATGTCAATTAATGACCCACTCACCCCTTCCACCCTGAGAAGACCAAAGCTTTACCACAAACACAGTCTGTAGCATCAGAGACTACCCTTCTTTAAGGAAAGAAAAGAACTGACACTAGCAGCCCCATTACTGTCTAATCTTTATGTTCAAGTAGAGAATCAATGCCAATGGAATGGTGGGGAGGTAAGCCATGGATTGCCATCTGCTGTTCCAAAACGTTTTCCATGTCTAAAGTGGAGATCCACTGTGTGTTGACATCCTGTTGTAGACGTTGAGTGGGTTTTTCTTGCTCCTGCCTTTAGAGTTGGCTAGCCCTCACACTATAGAGGAAATGCCCAACAAACCTCCTTTAATGCTCAAGTATAGTTTGCAGAGTGGTTGAACTTCTTCAAATATTACCACCATACCTAGATATTGTGGACTGCCACAAATGTGCCGTCAATGAAAAAAAGGCATGCTGAGCAGTAGGAGCACTTTAATTATCTGGATAATCAGGTTGGTGATTTCGTAAACCTATTTTAACATGTTCCTGGAATAAAATCAAACAAATTGTTCAAGTCGGCTGGTAGATATTAAAGTGATGATGAGTCTAATTGGCCCTATCCAACCTGCCTCTTTCGAAGACTGGCACTATCCCCAACATCCCCCTACACTACCTAAGAGTGGTAGTAGTGGAGAAGGCACTTCTGTTGCTGATACTGTTAACCCCTGAATCATGGTAGGGTTTCACTCAGCCTTATGTTCCAGTTGAGAAATGGGTTACTGCTTGGTGGATTTATTATAACTGTTACTTTATTGTGTTTGACTACACTGTACACAGCACAGAGTGCACTGCAGTGCACAGTGTTTTGACAAAGACCTCTTTATTTCAATGAAGTTTTGGGTGCCACATGCTCCCTTTTCTTTCCCTGCAGTTGAAAACATCGCTATTCTGCAATAACGACAATGTTTTTTTTGTAGTGTTAAACCTCCAAAGTAAAACTCTGCTATTTTAATAATTTAGACTTTTTGCCATGGCTGTGCACTAACCTCCCAATGCTTTCCTTTGTGAAAACACTGTATTGGTTAAGATCATCAAGCTAGATAATCTCAGCCAAATAGGTAGAGTTTGAGCAAGGAGACCAACACTGCAACGGAAAAAAGGTAAGTAAACTACCTTTTTGATGATGCTGTACTTTGCCTACAACAAAAAAGAGGCCAAAGGTCGAAGACAAGAAGCATGGTCAGGACCAAAGCCAAAGGTTCCAGGATCAGGAAATGGGAACAAGAGCCAGGATCAGGTATCAGGAACAAAAACCAATATCAGGAACCTGGAACAAAAACCAGGATCAGGAACCCAGAACCAGGATCAGGAACTAGAATCAGGAAACAGGATGCTAGGAGACTCTGGAAAAGCACCAGAACAACCAAGCACTGACCAAGTGCAGTGATTGTGTACTTATGAGGACATTATAAGAACATGACCGGCCCCAACCGCCTGCAGGCAGAGCCCCAGTGACACCTCGGCTATTCCACAGTCCCTCCCCTCTGTCTCTCCAAGTCTCCCTCCCAACAGCCCTCCCTGATCCTCTGTGCACACTGCAGAGCCCGGTGCTGAATCACAGATCCAGAAGAAATAGGAAAAGCAGCGAGATCAGGTGAGCGGCCAGAAAAAGCAGAGGCGCCTGAGAGTTCCCTCTCAGGATGCTGCGGACACGCTGGGCAGGTAAGATTGAATAAATATCGCGGCAAAAGCTGAAATCAAAATGTCTAGAACTAATTAAATCAGAGAAAGTAGAGCCTATTATATAGTGAAGAGACAAACTGATGGTAGTAGCAAAAAAGGGGGGTAACCCCTAAATAGTTAACATTAGAACAGAAAAAGTGTCTAAAAGAATCCTGCTTGGAAGTATAGTTTATTGCTCCTCCTTTTTTTTGTCCTCTGTTTGTCACTATATTTGATCTGTGAATTAAATAAATATTTAGTGGCTGTCAGCTAAAAAGGAATCTTTTTTTGTTTTTGTTACCTCTTCATTGGACTGAAGATTTGGCATACCTCTTCTCTATCATTGGAAATTATTTGTCTCACCCCCCAAAAACTCAGCCTCTTCTCCATCCCATTTTTAATGGTGCCAGGCATGGCAACCCAAATCACAAATTAACACAAGCATGTCTGGGCTTGCATAAATAAGTTCCACTGAGATTCTGCCTAATGGCAGCTCAAAAATCAGAATTTTGGCCAATTCGTCTGAATTACAGTTCAGTCCTAAACAAATTGCCATGTTTAATGTGGAATGTTGCTATCCTGAGATTCTACGTCCATGGTTACAAGGATGGCATTAGCAGGGAGGCATGTGATCCAGAGAAAGTTAGTGGCATCTTTTTGAAGCTGCTGGTGTTGGTTACAAGAGGTTTTAGAGTATTTTCAACCAGTCCTGAAATCTGTTTTATCTTGAAACTAGTAATTATAGGTCTGCTTGGGTCACCTGCTTTGTGGATTTTTATTTTATTTATTTATTTATTAATGTGTTCATTTATTGACTTTGTAAAGGTACAGCTTTTTCACCAATTGCCTGGTAGATATCGAAATTTTAGATTGTGGTTTTTGTCTAAGAAATTTCAACTCAGTTTGAATTATAAAACCCTGCGCTTATCCCTCTTTATAGGCCTGTATCCCTTTTACACATTGACCTTCACCAAGATCATTATTAATAGGATATGAATACCACTGATTTTTTTTTTTTTTGCACAAAAGCACCACTATATAGATAGTGTTCAAACAGATTTGACTTGTCACTTTAGCCATGCATGACAGTAAGGACTACAATGAGCTGTATTAGAAATATGAAATCAATTAAAAATTTTTTGTAAAAAACAAGATTTCCACCGAACGTTATAAGATTGCAGCATTTAACAAGAATTCATCATTTGAGGTTTAGTGGTAGCAGTGATGCTGTGCGGCTACAAGGAACTGTTAGCTCTCCATATGTTTGTCGAATACATGCTCTGGAAGTCATAGTGGCATGCAGGAAAAAGAGACTCGATTAAAATAAATTATACTCATGCTCATAAATCACTGCATTGCCACCAGGGGTTATATTGAATCATGAGCTTTGCTGTCCATGTGTGTATTCATTTGAATACCCTTCATTTCTAATAACAGAAAGATTGCTGCTGGGTACCAAAAGGAAAAGCATCTGGTTGTCTGCATTTTGAGCTTCACCACCTACCCGCCTTGTGTGAAAAAAATACTCTAGTTAATGTTCTGGACAATGTCATGTCAGGCTAACATGACTGTGAGATTTGCTAAAGGACAGGGATACGTAGCTTTTTAACATTCTGTGCCAAATCAAAACTTTGAAGACCCTTGGTATGCAGGTCCTATTTTGTTTTTAAATTAACTTGTGTGTGTTGCCTGTTTCTACTTGTGTTATTTGTGGGTTCTGCATCTGTTTTGTAGGGTTGTATATGTAGATATGTGGGCTGTGTTATAATGCGTATGTGTGTGAACAGTTTGAGGCATTGTGGTATTTGTAACAATCCATTGCACACTCCCAAGGTACACAGTTACACATTGCCACATACACCTAGACACACACAATGCCAACACAAACCTCTAGGCACAAATTTCAGAACACACACACTGTAACAAACTTTTACACCAACACATTGACAATGCTGTTATTTTTAGCCATCTTCATTTTACTTACCATTTAGTAGTTGGAAGATGGCTTCCCTGGTGTCCAGTAAAGACTGGATTGTCCTGGTAGTGGGTAAAGGCAGGTGCTTCAGCATGCCGCTCTCCTCCTGCATGGTTGCCAATTCACAAATACTGTGAGGAAGTGACCCGAGATCCTTCTAGCACTGCCACAAGTGAATTGAACAGTGCCACCTGCTGTAATAGGGCACTAGCAGATAGCAGAAGTCCTACCAAGGCCTCTGCCAAGTCAGTTCTGTTGGAGATGCCCAGATTTCTCTAGCCTCTCTGGGTCTGACAGTCTCGCGTGCAAAGCAAAGACATCTTGCAGGCCATGTATAGCACACATACAATAGGTTGCTGACCCCAGCTATAGGACTGATGACAGGAATTCAGCAAGAATGCTGTAATGAGCTTCTAGGGGCCTGTGAAGGCATTGGTAAGGTCAAAGAAACTGCATATTAAATATGACATACATAAAATAACAATGTAAAGTGCTGACAAAGGTAATACAGAAATGAATTGTTAATTTTATATTTTGATATGCAGTGCTTTCAGGCCCTGAAGACTTTGTCATGGGTTTTATAGAATGCCAAGTTTTTGTGGGACACATAAACTGATCATTTGCAAAATTAAAACCACTGACAGGTGAAGTGAATAACATTGATAATATCATTACAATGGCACCATTCAAGAGGTGGGATATATAAGGGAGCAAGTGAAAAGTAAGTTCATATTTTGGAAGCAGGAAAAATGGGCTAGTGAAAAGATTTGAGTAACTTTGACAAGGGTCAAATTTTAATGGCTAGACAACTGGGGCAGAGCATCTCCAAAACGGCAAGTCTTGTGAGGTGTTCCCAGTATGCAATGGTTAGTACAAACCAAAAGTGGTGCAAGGAAGGGCAACCAGTGAAACAACGTCAGGGTCATGGGTGCTCACAGCTCAGTGATGCACTAGGAGAGCAAAGGCTAGCTCATCTGGTCCTATTACACAAAAGCTACTATAGCACAAATTGCTGAAAACCTTTATGCTTGCCATGATAGAAAGATGTCAGAACACACAGTCAGTGGTGTATCCTGGTTTTGTGCTGCCCTAGGCAGGACAAAACTCAGGCACCCCCCCCCCGCGCCACCCCACCCGCGCAACCGCCACCCAACCTTCCCCCCTGCTCCGCCTTCTAAATACACACACACACATTCACTGACAGATACGCATTCACAGCTCAGTCACTAACAGACACACACTCACTAACAGACACACACACTCACTAACAGGACACACACACTAACAGACATCCACACTAACAGACACACACACTAACACTAACATACATACACTAACATTAACATACACACTAACACTAACAGATACACACTAACACTACACACAAACACTACACACTAACAGACACACTAACATACACACACTAACAGACATCCACACACACACACTAACATACACACACTAACACACACACACACTAACATACACACACTAACATACATACACTAACATACACACTAACAGACATCCACACACACACTAGCAGACATACACACACTCACTAGTGTTTTTATTTTTTATTTTTTTATTTAACCCCCCCCCAGCCTCCTTACCTTTGGTAATGCTGGGGGGGGTTCTTCCTCTCCCTGGGGTCCAGTGGCTGCAGGGCGGGCGGCCGGCGAGGGAGCTCTTCCCCTGAGCGCTCTGCTCAGCTCCCTCGCGCGCCGCCAGCAGAGTGAGGCTGGGAGCCGGAATATGACGTCATCAACCCGGCTCCCAGCCTCACTCTGCTGGCGGCGCGCGAGGGAGCTGAGCAGAGCGCTCAGGGGAAGAGCTCCCTCGCCGGCCACCCGCCCGCCCAGCGCTGCAGCCACTGCCGCCCAGCGCCCAGAATGTCTGTTAGCCGCGAGGCTAACAAGACATTTGCCTTGGGCATTTGGGGGGCGGCGTTTTTTGTCGCCCCCTGAAAAATGCCGCCCAAGGCAAATGCCTTGTTTGCCTCGCGGCTAATACGCCCCTGCACACAGTGCATTGCTGTTTGCTGTGTATGGGGCTGCGTAGCCACAGACTAATCAGAGTGCCCATGATGACCCCTGTCCACTGTCAAAAACACCTTCAATGGGTGCGTGAACATCAGAATTGGACCATGGAGTAATGGAAGAAGGGCGCCGTGTCTGATTTATTATGTTTTCTTTTAGACGAGGTAGAAGGCCAGAGGTGTGTACATTGTTTATCTGGAAAAGAGATGGCAGTATGATACACTGAGGGAGCAAGGCAGACCAGCAAAGGGTGTTATACTCTGGGCAATGTTCTGCTGCAAGACCTTGGGTCCTGGCATTCATGTGGATGTTACTTTCACACGTACCACCTACCTAGAGATTGTTGCAGACCATGTACACCCATTCATAGCAATGGTGTTCCCAGATGGCTGTTGCCTCTTTCAGTACACTGCAAAAATTGTTCTGGAGTAATTTTTTATTCATTTTATTTTTTAAATAATCAAATTTTCATTATATAACAAAGTGACAGTATGACAAGTGACAAACAAGAAAAAGAAAAAAAGGTAACATTAATAAAATCTGTATAAAATCAGATGTCTGTCATCCAATTAATTTCATGTTTTCCCTCTCTTCTTTCTTATTAAGAGAAATCCAGAGAGTATATCTCTGTATATCTCATATTTTGCCTTTCTTTAGTTACATTTTGAATTGAATACATATAAATACAATAAATACATACATATATACATA